GGCCCATCGCCCCGCGCGCCCTGACAGCCCTGCCTCGCGTGCCGCGCAAGGGCCAAGGGCGTTGGGTGGCAGCCTCGTTTCCGGGCGAACGACTGCTGTCTGCACCTTGCAGGCGCACGCGGACGCGAACGCTATGCTTTGTTCGGACAGCAGGCGATTTTTTTTCTTGACAGGTTCTAAAACAGACGAGCATTGCCGAAAAGACCAGGTCGCTCTGCAAAATGTATATTCTTCCGGCAGCAAGATCAGCCGACTGACAGACATTAATTCCGTAATGTTTCTTATTGATTGGTTGGTTAGGGTTTCCTGGCGCGTCAACGGCTACGGTCATTAGTTCCGTAAGTGTAGTGCATGTTATTATCACGGGAAATGGTAGTGATCTTCCCCTCTGGATGGCGAGGTCCGGCGCCAGCTTACCCGTCGGATTTCGGGGTATTCCCAACCAGGTATCTCCCAACAGTGGGGCATAGCCCCATTCAGAACAAGCTCTAAGCTCCCGACCGGTCTCCCGGCATGAGTGTGAGTGTAGTGCATGTTATTGTGAGTGTGTGAAAAGGGTGCGGGTAGGACAAGGAAGAGGAAGGGGTCCGTGGCCCATTTGTTAGGACACTGCTTCAGCAATGGCCTGGTGTTGATCGGAAAATCCACAGAAAATTGCTGATCAGACGAGCCGGCCGCTGGAATTCCCCTCCAAATAGCGGCTGAATTCGATCTAAGATAGTGTCTCACAGTATCCGTTTAGTACATGCAATTAAAAGTTAGGGATAGTTTCATGACTGGTTATTGTAATTATACACGTCTAAAAATAATTTTGTCAGACCTGATACAAATCAGGTCAAAAAGCTGGAGAAAATATGTATGCTTATGACGTCAAACGAACGTTACGTTCCAGTTCCAAATGCTCGGATTATTTTCTTTCATCACAATTTAAAAGTTAACTCGTAATAGAATAAAATTTAATCAACGAATTACGCGGGAACGTAATATTTCTTTAAACATAATGGAAGTGTACTTTTATTTCCACTGCATTGACACTCAGCTGAGGTCGTAAGATTTGCTTCCCGACCCTGAACGATTCTCGATACTAGCTACTTAGATACATCGAATTCAGCTATCTGGAGGAGAATTTTGTCGGCCATCTGCTCTGTTGGATAGTATTCCGGGGTTTCATTGATCAATGCCACGCGATTGCCGGAGCAGTACTCTAGCAGAAGGGCTACGCACCGCGATTAATTTTGTTCCCCTATTCATACCTTCTCCTCACACACACACACACACACACACACACACACATTACAAATTTTATACTATTTACAAGATCACCCTACCACACATGCCGGAAGACCATTCGTTTGAGCTAGTTTCGACAAAGGTGTTGCCTCTCTAGAAGACATACCTGCATGGAGGCGAGCCCCCAAGCGGACGTGTAGGCCGGCGACAAATCCCACGCCAACGGGGGTAGAAACACCGCCACCTCTTGCCTACAGCATGGAAAACCAAATACCAACAACCGAAGTAGTTGACCCGTGCTTAAACGCTAAATACTCTCTTGCATTCCATTCATCATTTTCCACTCACCGGCTTCAAACGACCTATCTCCGCGAATCAACCTCCGTTAATGTGAGCCCACATTCCGCACAGGCTGCTGTTCAGTACTCATATATTCTATCTTGACCCCACCCCCCTCCCCTCTTCCAACGGTCATGCCCCCCCCCCGCCCGTCGCACTGGCGCCGCGCGCCCGTCTGTTTTTTTCAGGCAACGAGGAGCGGAGGAGGGTACGGGCGCCGAAAATTAAAAATACCTCTCTCAAATTACTGCAGGCGCGTAATTAATTGCAACCCCATCCCATCTCTTCTGTCCCAGCGCAGCGCAGCGCCAGGATGGCCAAACCTGCCGCGACGTGGACGAGCGGCCGCCCACACTGAGGCCAGGTATCGAGCCAGGAAATTCACTCGACGAGCCCCTAAAATATGCAGAAATACCCGAAATGAGTTAATCTGAAATTATGATTTTTTTTATTTACATACGTGGAATTTTCACATTCAAAACAACGTTAATTAAATTTGGTGATTTGAGATACTTTCATAGCGAAAAAGTTACAATGTTCTTAAATAAATAGTGATAGTAAATATAAATTTTATTATTATTTTTGAAGATAACTAAAGATTTATTTTGGATCCTCTTTAGTATTTAAATTACGTTTAAATTTGGTTGCCCATTCTGGATGTATAATCATATTACTTAAATAGAATAATTGTTCTAAATGAAATATTTTTAAAAATAAAAATTTTTCTGAATGATTTTCCTTTTAATATTGAGGAAATTACTGTTTACAAACAAATTGCATCCTGAAGTAGTTGTTATTAAAGCAAATATTTTTCATAGTACAGTGATTTCACTAGGGAGCGACGAAGCCATTATTCCAGCACTTTTATAGATCGCGCTTTACTTATGAATTATTCCATAATCCAAGCAGAATTTTTTTACGTTAGCTGTGATAAGATTTCCTGCTGCTAGTACTCACTTCCAAGCAGACACTGTTCATATACTTGCGTAAATGATAAAATCGGTTTCAAATTAACTTTAGAAACATCGGAGTGTCACCACAAAACCCCGCCTCCACATGAACGAGCGAATTTTATCTGTTCCTGAATTTGTAAACTGCTTCATTTTCATTATGCTCCTGAAACAATGGCGAACAGTAAAAGATATGAAAATAATAGTTTCGACTTTTATAATTATTTGAATAGTGCGTGTAGTACTTTTATGTATATTTAACTTAACTGGTAGAATCCTTGATACAGATACATTGAAGAGATTCTGAGGTTGTTATTCCCAACTGTTGCATTGTCTCAAGCACTGTACTCAGATGATATTGAGAAAGGTTATTGAAAAGTATGAATCACGGAGATTACAAGATCCGTGTACACATGGAAAGCGCTGCTTGCCCGCTTGCTCAGTGCCCACCGCAAATTCCCTGGAGACGCGGGATTTGAAACTTCGTTGGGTCCAGCGGCAGAATGACGAGCGGTTCTCGATCGTGCTTCAGTGCCCTTTGAGGCGTAGTAGGACGACCGGCGTCGAAGAGCGGCGCCGTGCAAAGGCGTGGGCGGTGGCCCGACGGCAATCAGAGCGAGATGGGCGTCGCCGAACCCGACACTCCGCCGGGGCGGGGGGCCGGCGCTTGAATTAAAGGGCGGACACGTAGAATGAAGGGCACGGCCGCTGGCCGCCCGCCGTAAAGCGAGAAACCGATAATGCTAGTCACGCGCGGCGTCACTCGCGAGCACCGCCACCTCCGCCACAACCCCCTCTCTCCCCCCTTGCCTCCCGTCCCACACGCCCCCCCCCCCCCACTGCACTCCTCAACCGCTCCTGCCCCCATCTGACGTAGCCACCCCAACTTCCACGCGCAAAACTAAATTCTCTCTATAGACATTTACCTATCCACCTACCTCTCCCCCCCTGCCCTCTCGGCCCCAGCCCAAACCCTCCGTTCCTCCCACCCCGCCACTGACTGCAGTCTCCATCCTCATCTACAGAGCAGTCGTTCCCAACTTCCGTGCGCCAACGAACCTCCTGTCTGCGCGTCACTAACTCCCCTCACCCTCCCCAGCGAACTTCAAACATCCCGCCCTCCCCACATTCCTACCCTTCCCATTCCTTCTCTCAATCTACTACCTTGTTTACGTCCCTAGTCCGTGTCCTCTTCACCCACTTTCTCGATCGTTCATTCATCTCTACCGTTTTACCGGTACGTTACCTTTACCTGTCTTCGCCCTTCATGCTATCCTCATCTTCTCGGAATTTTTATCCCCGTCATTCTTAGGACCTTTCTTCGCTTTTCTATCTTCACCCAACTAGGCGTTTCTTCATTGTCTTCATGTGTCCCGTGGTTTTGACTTTCACCTATTCATAATAAGTGTCTACTTGCTCCTCACTTTCTCCAACTCCCCTCTTCTTAATGATATTTCTTATTTTTTGCGGCTTCTTCCTACAGCTACAAAATTGAAGAGGTTTTTCCTTCATAAAAAATTATTCTCTCTACTGAGTTCTTTCATTGAGATCATGTACAATTTTTTAAAATAATAGTTTTCGAGCTGAAAACGCTTATGCGAATTTTTTCAGAAAAAATCTTATTGCCGGTTCTGGTAACGAAAATATGGATAAATTCTGGTAACGAAAATATGGATAAATTCAAGGAAACAATCCTGTAACTGGTGTAGCCAGAATCTAAGTTTCGTTGGTTTTTGTTCTTTATTTTTCCCTTTCATTTACTATTTATTGTTTCCTTTAGAGGAATATTTTTACCTTCTTCGCTTACCAATTTCCTTCGCTTTCGTGTTTAATATTCTTCAAAGTTAAATCTCTACCCGCTTACATTACGCCTCTTTGCTCGATAAACAAGCCTGATTTTGCATGGAATATGTAACGGACAAGCATCGATTACTACTCAGTACAACTACTATTACTACTAACGTCGAAAAAATTTAAATTGTTTCGTTGAAATGATCTGGCTCTCGACATCTGATTATGGATGGTTGTTGTGTATTCGACCAAGAGGGAAGTTGTCGTAAATACCTATGTCAATATGCCTATGAATAGAGCGTGATGCGTATGAATTACCTTCTTGGTTGAGATCCCAGAGGTGAATGTTTGGGGAGCTGATTTAAATAAACGGAAAAAGAGAGCCCCCGGAAGTCTTTTGTCCTAATGTAGCGGGCATTTTAATGCAGGAGAATAAAATGGGAGAGAACGGTCCCGAGAAATGAAAAACAACACGAGAACAAGTCGGAAAAAATTAACCCGACCGCGAGCGTTGGTGTTTCTAAGAGCCCGGGAGAATAGGTACAAAGGTACACCGTTGCTTCGGCCTCCCCGTCGCCCCCCTACCGCCCGTGACCTTCTCCGTTTCCTACCGCGCAGGACACGAATCTATTAGAGTTCAGCCTACCTGGCGGGCAGTTTCTAATACATCATGCATACGATTTTATTTACCTTCCTCGTTGTCGCCATCTCGAATCCTTCGTGAACTTGGAACGTTGGCCGTAGTAACGAAGGCCTTTTTTCCAGGCAAACCATTGAAGAAGATAGAATTACACCACATATTGCTGACTGCATTTTTCTTCTGGTTGTTTCTTGCGAGTAGATTTTAACTTTCGTTGGTAGAACACCATAATTTTCATTCAGGAATCTGCAAAGAAAAAATATTTTCGGTAAGTTCAGAGTCGTCACAAAACTTCATTTTGCATACTTGAATCAAATTGTTCTGTAACTATCAGTATAAACGAAAATTCAGTTACATGCCATAGTTTTGTTGCTACGAGTATATATAATTTTATTCCAAGAGGGATCACGAAAGATGACCCGCCTGAGCTTTCTACCAAGTTGACATTGTGATGGTTTACCAAATGCACACGTTACTGATCGCGTGGATAGCTCTTTAAATGACCAAGTCGCCAAAGTCGTTGAAAAATGAATTAATAATTTTAATATTAGTAACGAAAAATGTGTTTGCGGTGAATGAAGTATAAATGAAATCTAGTAAAAAAAAATTAGTACTTTCAATATTTTTGTTCAAATGTTACACGAGAAATAAAGTAATAATACTCTTTACATTTTTGAATACAAAAAATCAATCAGAAATGCTTGATTGTCACATTATGAATAATTAGATAAACGAACAACATCGTCTCTGAATTTATACGTATCACAAGCAAGACATAAAAAATTCATGGGTTAAGAGAATGGCCATTAATGTATTACTCAACAATCCAAAATATAATTGGAAGATGATCAGTTTTGAAATATTCACTGTGATAAAGTTGTCCTAGTCTTCAATGTTCAATATATACATTTTTACTTCAATATTTCAACTAAAATCACATGATATAATAGTAAATAATGTTTTGTCTGAACGAGAAAAGGTGAGATGAAGGCCAATAACTGAAAGATATCTTCATCACGTTTGTAAACTATACAGGTTTTTGTTAACAACTTTATTGGCATGTTTTCTAACATTCCCATTCTTTTGTGTTATTTGAGAGATATTTGTACTTATTAACGATACGATAAATACAGCATTGCTTACTTGAATAGTGATAGTACATGCCTCTTCAAACGTGATTTGAGTTCAATTATTACACGAAAGTATTAAAATCACGAAAACTATCTTCTAAGGAGCCTAATATATTTTTGGCTGCTGTCACTGTGCAGGTTCCCCTTCCAGCCATCAGCAGAAGGTCGCCGCCCGCGCCCCCAGCGCACACTCCCACACCTTCTAGACCTCCTTCGGTGGGAGCGACCTTTGCCCAAATGTCTCGGCAGAATGTCGCGCACGGCGCTGTCACTTACGCTGCGACAGGTCGCGGGGGGCGGGGCGCGTTCGTTTCGGAAAACAACATGCATCGGTTCACTTCACGACTGAACTTTCAGAAATAATGGAACCTACGTGGCACACCGATAACCGAGAACGATAAAACAGCGACTTACGGCTCGAGCGGACAATGATAGGGAGGTCGTGGGTTCGGTCCCCACCCGATGTTGGAAATGTGACTCAAGTGTTTTACATCGGAAAGTTTGTGACTCCTGCTGATATGAAAGTCGTGAAACAGAGGTGATTTTTAAACATTTATTTTTTCTTAAATGTCCCCGAATATTTTTTTCTTTGATTTTTTATCCGTATGCAACAAAGGAGGGTGAAACATTGATGCTGGTTCTATTTTCGGCAAAATCGTCAGTATTTTTCTAAAATTGCAAAATATAACGTGGTAAAAGTGCAATACTAACGATGGAGATTTCTTAAAATATAATCTGTTGTAAAATATATATCTCTAAAAAAATTCATATGCGTTTTTTTAAAAAAAAAGAGTAAATATGAATTCTTTTAAAATTAATGATATTTATAAACAAATCTCAAACTCGAATTGAACATTTTTCTTTATTTTTCCTTGGATAGGAAAAAGCATAAACATAGTGCAGATCTCATTAACGTTGAGCTTAAAGTTTTTTTTTAATTGCCGAAGTGAGAAAAATATGCAAATGCTCTTCTAGTACAACTGATTTTAAATTGTGAATATTTCACTACACAAGTACGTTTATCTATAATCATATAGTAATCACCACTCCATATTCCTTGAAAGCTCGCAATTTCATGGTTATTTCAAATTTTCCAAAATAATATTTAAAAAATCCAGATTAAAATAGTGCCAATATTTTCATCTTGTCCAGATCAATCCTGTTATCTATTGATTACCTTCGTAAGAGCTTTGAAACTCCTAAAAAAAGGCGGTTTAGATGGTTAACTCCTCTCTCCCGGTTAAGTTTTTTCGATAACTCTCTTAGAATTGTTTCAAAATATCCGAAAAAAATGGTCAGTTCTCCCCATACCTAAGTGCGTCTAATAATGCCCATTTTTCCCCGATGTTTGTTCGGAAGGATCAAACCGTGACTGAGTGACGGAAGAATGAAAACACGCCGACTACTATTTACGACGTACGTTAAGACGTTAAAACGTTAAAACATAACCACACTCTCCCCGAATTAACATAAAAGTGACTTTATTCTTAATATTTTCCTAGTTGTTCAAAATATAGAAACAAAAATAATTTTGTCGAAAGAGCGTCAGACCAATGGAATTGCTTCCGAACTATATGTTCGAGACAAAATGAAATATTACTTGTTTTATCCTACTTAAATAGTACATTACGTCACTCGAATCGTTAATGGCTGGAAGGGGAGTCTGAGGAAATTGAAAAACAACATATTGACAAATATGTGAGAGTATCAACATGAAAACAGTTCATACAAGTACAAAAGTGATATTGTCAACATTTTAAAAAAGAAGCTTAAAGAGGATTTCCATGAAGCGATCATTAAGGAGTTTCTTGCAGGAAATATTTGTTGTGAAAAGGACGAGCAATAATCACAGGATAATCTTTTAAATGCATTTGTAGACTTTTCTTTGAACTTTGAGAGCAATTGTGAACAAATTTCATTCTAGTCGTTCCCTAAATAATGACAACTCGATAATCGATACTGTAGCAAGTATCCGTGTGATGGAATTCTTACAATTCATCAGCTCTTGAAAAGAGAAAAGTTTCATTGAAAAGAGTTCATCTTCGATTTCCTTATTTTAATTTACTTTTAAATAGAAAATATTAAGAATCGCTTCAGTAAATGATTTATTTTGAAATTGAATATTTGGTAATACTTTTATATCAATTGTATTGTACTGTATACCATCAGTATTTCTAAAAATAACCTTTGAGGGAAATTAACGAGCGAACTTAGAAATGATAATATAACTGTTACGCTTCAGTAAACGTAGTGAGGAATATAGCAATAATTGTTATATGTGTGTTAAATGGAGAAATACATGTGTTAAATCTACCAACTTCTGAGAACATCATTACAGCAATATACGCCGTGACACGACGGTTTTGACTTGACTGTAAACTATGGAGACTATGAAAAACTCTCAGAATCACTCGAGCAGCATTTAAATGAGTTAATTAAATTGAATACGTGCAGAATCCAAGTAAATGTCGCCAAGCTTATTCATGAGACTTACGCCGATAAAAATAATAGTTGCTCCCAACTTAAATGAACAACTATGACGGATACGTTTAAATATATACGGTTGCACCTCGATAGACGTGCATAATACACATACACGGTAAACATAAACAAAAAATAGAACCTGAAAATATGTACTGATTACTGGGGTGCAAAATAATAAGCTTCTACTAAAGAAGACTTATTTGAAACATCTATTACATTTTTTGACACTAAACTCTTCTAAAGGTATCTCCTTCATAGCGTTGAGGCTCAGATACGAGAAGTAACAAGAAATCTATGTAAAATTAAATTGAAGGAATAGTGAAAGAAACAATAAGCCACCTCAAAATTAAATTCATTGGTTGCTTTTATAGTAAATTTAAATTCCAAGTTTGCCAATGTTAGGATATGTATTCATTTAAAATATGAAGCGTATCACGCTATAAAACACACTTCAGAGGTTGCTCGTTAAAAAATTAGGAAGGCGATGAAGCTATGTTCACTTTTAAAACAACGATTTATGAAATTCGGAATGTTTGCACTCCAGCTGGACCCGTGAACTGCCATAATAACCTTGAGGCAAAATCGAGCATTCCGTGGCAACTCGCAGGGTTCTTCAGAACGACGCACAACATAGCCGGCGCCATTATGCAGTTTCGGCATTCACGACCCCCCCCCCTATCCAACAGCGCTCGTGTGCTCGGGGCTTTTTTTTTCGGAGCTCCCCATGGCTGGGGTCCCCCGCCCCTCTCCG